AAATTTCTGTTTTTATTTCAGAGTGACAAGTGTAGGCCAGAATGGCACAGCAGCTGACACTGCATGAGCGTGATCAGCTAGCAACTTGTCATGAGTGTAGCAGTTCATGATACAAGTGCAGAGATGATAGCGCAGTCTTCATAGACCTCGAGCTTCAGTAGATGCAAAATAAAGAATACCAGAAATTGTCATTCCAAGTTGATGAGTACCGGATCTGTGATAGATATTAAGAGAAGCGGTCATCTTTCAATATCCAGATTGAAAGAAAATGTGCAAAAAGCAGAAATTTTAACAGCACTGTACTTCTATCACTATACTGTTATAATAATAATAATAATAATAATAATAATATAAAAAAGAGAGGTTTTATGAAAATCAACTAATCATATTTATTATAAAACCCAGGTTGTGTGTGTGTCTGTACGTTTATATATTGGATCGGATTTCCTACATTTTTCAACCGATTTCAACAAAACTTCACAGGACTACGTAAAATTACCTTGCGTGGTTATGACAACGCCAAAAATCGGAAAAACACAATTGTTTTTGCACGAAATCAATTTGAAAACACGATTAAGAGACATCGATTTCGCGGAATGAAAGGGGGACAACTCATATCGAGTTATACTTATTATAAAACCTAGGTTGTGTGTGTGTGTGTGTGTGTGTGTGTGTGTGTGTGTGTGTGTGTGTGTGTGTGTGTGTGTGTTCTTTTATATATGGGATCGGTTTTCCTACATTTTTCAACCGATTTCAACAAAACTTCACTTTTTTTTGGCAGGTAGTGTTTCTTATTGTCTTGCACACTTTTTTCCTTTATTTTTACATTCCATTTACAAGACAATTATTTATAATAAAATTCTATTTAATCGGTAGACTCATAACGATTGAAAACAATGTTTTTGTTTGAGTTTGGGTTTGACCAATTGGTAAAAAAAAAAAAACTAATTAAGACATGCGTGTCCGTCAACCTTAAACAATAATCTTTGTCAATTTTATTTTTCAGTCTTTATGATGGTCGATACTTGATCTATCTCTTACTGTTACATCCCCGGGCAACGCCGAGCTCTACTGCTAGTAATCAATGAAGTTAAGAACGATTTTAAGTAGGGACTTGTATTTCTGATAATTTATATGAAATAATGTCTTATATTTTCACTTTTGGAAATAAAGTTCTCAGATGAAGATTTGCTTTTATGTTTTTTTTTTCGGACTAGAATGTTAAACAATGATAATACCCCAGCCCCCATCGCAACACAAACCAGATTTCTACAGCTTTTCTGTTGTTGTCCAGTTTACTGAAATGACGGACACGAAATTTAGTAAAAAGAAATGCAGGTAAGTAATTATAATTTAATCATGAAATAATGTTATTCTCTTGACTTAATTATAAAGTTTAAATATTCATATTTAGATTTCGGCATTAAATAACACATGGAGGTGTTGATATGTCGCTAAACCAAAACAACCAACCAAAAATCATAGCTGGTGGTGTATTGGGGGGGAGAGAAGAGATAGATTGATACCTTTCTCCAAGGCTATTTGTACATATATAATGAATATAACGAACCCAAGTGAAATTGATCTCCGATATTTCATTCTGAGCCGTTATTACACCACCCGCACATCCAAGCTAACAGCACCTCGTTATTCCCAAACAACGTGATTAAAAAAAGAATATTAATTTCGTAACCTGCGTTTTTGGGGGGTTTTTTTTCATATTGATTAAGTACTCTAGATTAAGATTTTTTTTTCCTTTTACATTTTAAGAAATAACATCGTCTGAGCATATATTGTTTTGGCTTCCATAGTGGGAGGGGGATCAATTTACATAAACTAAATTCCTACTATTATAAAATTTAATTATTTACACTCTTCGTTATCCAGTGCGCTTAATCTATATATATTCTTACAGTTGGGGCTAATGGTGACACTCAAGGTAGAATAGTACAATGGATTGCCGTTTTTTTTTTATTTATTTATTTGGGGGGGGGGGATTTTTCTTTGGTGGGGGGTGTTTTTGTACCGGGGATGTTAAGGTTCTCCCGTCTCTCCTCGTTAGGGAGGCAGAGTTGATTTGAATTCACGGTTTTCCTTCTCTTAGGCTGGTTGCCAACCAAGACTACAGAGCCCAGTCTGCCCAACTATTTTACCCATAGCTGAGCCTTAATCTATAGTAATATGAAAAAAGTCGAAAAAAATATTATTTTTGGCCACAGTGCCACAATTCTAACTGAAAGATTTATTCAGAAAACTTACAAAAACCTTTGCTTCATTATTTATTTAAAGATTTAGAACCGCCAAATTTTCCAGAAAACTTACGAAAACCTTTGCTTCATTATTTTATTTAAAGATTCAGAACCGCCACTTTTTCCATAAAACTTACGTAAACCTTTGCTTCATTATTTTATTTAATGATTTAGAACCGCCAAATTTTCCAGAAAACTTACGAAAACCTTTGCTTCATTATTTTATTTAAAGATTTAGAACCGCCAAATTTTCCAGAAAACTTACGAAAAAAACCTTTTGCTTCATTATTTTATTTAAAGATTTAGAACCGCCAAATTTTCCAGAAAAACTTACGAAAACCTTTTGTTTCATTATTTTATTTAAAGATTTAGAACCGCCAAATTTTCCAGAAAACTTACGAAAACCTTTTTGCTTCATTATTTTATTTAAAGATTTAGAACCGCCAAATTTTCCAGAAAAACTTACGAAACCTTTTGTTTCATTATTTTATTTAAAGATTTAGAACCGCCAAATTTTCCAGAAAACTTACGAAAACCTTTGCTTCATTATTTTATTTAAAGATTTAGAACCGCCAAATTTTCCAGAAAACTTACGAAAACCTTTGCTTCATTATTTTATTTAAAGATTTAGAACCGCCAAATTTTCCAGAAAACTTACGAAAACCTTTGCTTCATTATTTTATTTAAAGATTTAGAACCGCCAAATTTTCCAGTTCTTTTGTGTCTAATCGAAGTATCGTCTAGAATAGTCATACCCGCTGGAAATCTTTAACTTCTAAAATGAATGTCGGGGTTAACGTCTCCCTAATTATCCAAATATTTCACGAGGACACGCTCTCTCTACACTATAAATACTGGGCGACTTCTTGCCTCGTTCTCTTTTTACTTTGCATATCAGCGGACACATTTAAAAATGTGATCTCTTGTAGAGATCCGCGTTTTCGCCCACTTGTGGGAAAACGCCATGAAACACACATACACGTACGTACGAACATTCACCAAAATACAAACTCTTTACGTTCACACACAAAAAACAAATATTAATGTCTTTGTCACTTGTAAATTTGATTTGTTGTTTAATACATATATTTGTTGATATATATATATATATATATATATATATATATATATATATCGGTCTTGTTTGTTTTCTTTACATCATCGGTTGGGCTCAACTTGAGTCCGCATTGTTCTTCTTGTAGTTGGACCTCCTTCTAGCAGGAATAAACAGCACGTGTTCCTAATTTAACAACACGTAAACCCACACGGTCCTCTGCATAAGCATGCCCTTTTAAATAAACATTCCGCCTGATGATTTTATAGAAGATTTTAATAAACATGGAAGAAAAACATGCCACAGAGAAAATCATTTGATAAATAATAAATGTGCTGTACCAAATAAATACCGCATCAGTGAAAAAATTAAAGGAAATAATTTAATCCTGCCCCGACTTCTCTTTACTCAAGTTAGGTTGAAAGAATAAAGATTGGAAGAAAGAAAGAAAAAATGAATAAAGAGAAAAAAAGGAATGAAAGTAGAAAATGAATGCGTTTGAAAGAAAATAAAAATGAAAAAAAAATGCGTAAGGAGAGAGAAAAGTAAATAAGGAAGAATAATAAATGAATATGAGGAAAAACATTTAAATAAAGTTCAAAGAAAAAAAAAAGGAATCCTAGATTTAAAAAAAATTAAAAATCAATAGACTCGAATAAAAAGTGAAAAACACAAAAGAATGAAAAATATAAATCATGCATCGAAGAGTAATGAAACTGAATCTAAAAATATTCCATTACTAAATAAATAATAAATCCAGCATCAGCGAGACCAGAGAAAAAAAAATGTGAATAACTATTGTGTGTCCGTCAGAGTGCAACATGTCCGTTTCTAAGAGCTTCCTTTCTTCTCATTTCTATTGAATAGTAATACAATTGGAACGCCAAAACTTATTTGTAATTCGAAAAATGCCTACCCCTATCCTGAAATGAATTTCCGCTTCTGCTCAGTGCACCAAAGAAATCGTTTCTTTGCGCATCTCCACCTTGTACCATTTATGTGTGTTTATAGAGGCGTGAGCTGTAATACGCCCGGACATTTTTTTTAGAAAATTAATGAGACTGTAAAAGTATTTGAGAAATAAAATAGGCATACGATATATGTGAAGGAATAAAAAAATAGGCATGAAGACAGGCATAAACACGTTGAGTGTTATTCATACAGAAAAGCAATCATCATTTCATCGAAATCAGAAAATTGTATGTAAGGTTTATTTTCTGGGGTTTTTTTACGTTATTTCTTTCTCATATAATTATTCATTTGTAGTGATTATGATTATCAATAAAAGAAGAAATTCGAAGTAAAAATATTAAAAAATTAACAATAATGTTGTGCTTAAAGGGAGAAGAAACAGGCGGGATATCGATAAGGACAAAAAAAGAAGAAACGCATAAGGATAATGACGATTATAATGATGAGAAAAAGATGAGAAAAAAGATGATTAGATTAAAAGATGTTTAAAGATGAAGACGGTGAAGATGAAAAAAAATAATGAAGAAGGAATAAAAAAAATGGAAGTATTGAACGACGAACAGAAAACAAGGAAAACATTGAAAGTTTTGAAAAGATGAAAATGGAAAAACTAAAAAAAAAAAAAAAGACCAAAGTATTGAACGATTCCAAAGAAATTTGGAAAGAAGAAGAAAAAAAAGAAAGCCTGAGAGGAAACGAGGAAAACACTGAACGAATGAAAATGTTTAAAAAAAAAAAGAGTTTTGAAAAAAAAAGAAAATTAAAAGATGTTTGGTGGAATAAATTTGAACGACTTTTGAAAGAACTCGAAGAATACTAAAAGAAGGATAAAGGTGGAAACTGTAAGAAGAAAATTGAAGAAAGAAAAAGAAGATAATTGAAAAAAGAAAAAGAAGAAAATTGAAAAAAGAAAAAGAAGAAAAATTGAAGAAAGAAAAAGAAGAAAACTGAAGAAAAAGAAGAAAAATTGAAGAAAGAAAAAGAAGAAAATTGAAGAAAGAAAAAGAAGAAAAATTGAAGAAAGAAAAAGAAGATAATTGAAGAAAGAAAAAAATGAAAAATTGAAGAAAGAAAAAGCAGTTAATTGAAGAAAGAAAAAGAAGAAAAATTGAAGAAAGAAAAGGAAGAAGAATTGAAGAAAGAAAAAGAAGAAAATTGAAGAAAAAGAAGTTAATTGAAGAAAGAAAAAGAAGAAAATTGAAGAAAGAAAAAGAAGAAAATTTAAGAAAGAAAAAGAAGATAATTGAAGAAAAAGAAGAAAAATTGAAGAAAGAAAAAGAAGAAAAATTGAAGAAAGAAAAAAAAGAAAAATTGAAGAAAGAAAAAGAAGATAATTGAAGAAAGAAAAAAAAGAAAAATTGAACTAAGAAAAAGAAGTTAATTGAAGAAGGAAAAAGAAGAAAAATTGAAGAAAGAAAAAGAAGAAAAATTGTGGGAAGCAAAAGAAGAAAAATTGAAGAAAGAAAAAGAAGAAAAATTGAAGAAAGAAAAAGAAGAAAATTGAAGAAAGAAAAAGAAGAAAAATTGAAGAAAGAAAAAGAAGAAAATTGAAGAAAGAAAAAGAAGAAAAATTGAAGAAAGAAAAAGAAGTTAATTGAAGAAAGAAAAAGAAGAAAAATTGAAGAAAGAAAAAGAAGAAAAATTGTAGGAATAAAAAGAAGAAAAATTGAAGAAAGAAAAAGAAGAAACATTGAAGAAAGAAAAAGAAGGAAATTGAAGAAAGAAAAAGAAGAAAAATTGAAGAAAGAAAAAGAAGAAAATTGAAGAAAAAAAAGAAAAAATTGAAGAAAGAAAAAGAAGAAAAATTGAAGAAAGAAAAAGAAGAAAATTGAAGAAAGAAAAAGAAGAAAATTGAAGAAAGAAAAAGAAGAAAAATTGAAGAAAGAAAAAGAAGAAAATTGAAGAAAGAAAAAGAAGAAAAATTGAAGAAAGAAAAAAAAAAAAAGAAAGAAAAAGAAAGAAAAAATTGAAGAAAAAAAAAGAAAATTGAATTGGAAGAAAAAAAAAAAAAAATTTAAGAAAGAAAAGAAGAAAATTGAAGAAAAAAAGAAAAAAAAATTGAAGAAAGAAAAATAAGAAAAATTGAAGAAAAAAAAAAAAAAGAAAAAAAAAAAAAAAAAAAAGAAAAAAAAGAAAAAGAAAAAAGAAAAAAAGAAAAAGAAAATTGAAGAAAAAAAAGAAGAAAAATTGAAAAGAAGAAAAAGAAAATTGAAGAAAAAAAAAGAAGAAAAAAAAGAAAAAGAAGAAAGAAAAAGAAAAAAAAAATTGAAGAAAGAAAAAAGAAGAAAAAAGAAAGAAAAAAGAAAGAAAAAGAAGAAAGAAATTGAAGAAAGAAAAAGAAGAAAATTGAAGAAAGAAAAAAGAAAAAAAAAAAGAAAGAAAAGAAGAAAATTGAAAATTGAAGAAAAATCAAAAAAAAGAAGAAAGAAAAAAGAAAGAAAAAGAAGAAGAAGGAAATTGAAAAAGAAAAAGAAAGAAAAAAAAAGAAAAGAAAAAAAAAATGAAGAAAAAAAGAAAAAAATTGAAGAAAGAAAATTTGAAAATGAAGAAAGAAAAAAAAGGAAATTGAAGAAAGAAAAGAAGAAAATTGAAGAAAGAAAAGAAGAAAATTGAAGAAAAAAAAAAAAAATTGAAAAAGAAAAGAAGAAAAAAAAGAAAGAAAGAAAAAGAAGAAAAATTGAAGAAAAAAAAAAGAAGAAAATTGAAGAAAGAAAAGAAGAAAATTAAAGAAAGAAAAAAAAGAAAAAATTGAAGAAAGAAAAGAAGAAAATTGAAGAAAGAAAAAGAAGAAAAAATTGAAAAAAAAAAGAAGAAATTGAAAAAAGAAAAATTGAAAAAAAGAAGTAAAATTGAAATAAAAAAGAAGAAGAAAAAAGAAGAAAAAAAAAGAAAAATTGAAGAAAAGAAAAGAAAAGAAATTGAAGAAAGAAAAAAGAAGAAAAAACTTGAAAAAAAGAAAATTAAGAAAAGAAAAAAATTTAAGAAAGAAAAAAAAAAGAAAATAAAAAAGAAAAAAGAAAAAATAAAGAAAGAAAAGAAGAAAGAAGAAAAAAAAGAAAAAAAAAGAAGAAAAATAAATTGAAAAAAAAAAAAGAAAAAAAAAAGAAAAGAAAGAAAAGAAGAAAAGAAAAAAATTGAAGAAAGAAAAGAAAAAAAAGAAAGAAAAGAAAGAAATTGAAGAAAAAAAAAAGAAAAAAATGAAGAAAAAAAAAGAAAAATTGAAGAAAGAAAAGAAGAAAATTGAAGAAAGAAAAAAAGAAAATTGAAGAAAGAAAAAGAAAAAAAGAAGAAAAAAAAAGAAAAAAGAAAAAAGAAAGAAAAAAAAATTGAAGAAAGAAAAAAAGAAAAAAAGAAAAAAAGAAAAAGAAAAAATTGGAGAAAAAAAAGAAAAAAAAAAAAAAAAGAAAAAAATTGAAGAAAGAAAAGAAGAAAATTGAAGAAAGAAAAAGAAGAAAAATTGAAGAAAAAAAAAGAAGAAAATTGAAAAGAAAAATTAAAAAGAAAAAAAAAAATGAATAAAGAAAAAGAAAAAAGAAGAAATTGAAGAAAGAAAAAATTGAAAAAGAAAAGAAGAAAAAATTGAAAAAAGAAAGAAGAAAATTGAAGAAAGAAAAAGAAGAAAATTGAAGAAAAAAAAGAAGAAAATTTGAAAGAAAGAAAAGAAGAAAATTGAAAAAGAAAAAAAGAAAAATTGAAGAAAGAAAAGAAATTAAGAAAAAAAAAAAAAAAGAAAAAGAAGAAAATTGAAGAAAGAAAAGAAAAAATTGAAGAAAAAAAAGAAAATTGAAAAAAAAGAAAAAATAGTGAAAAAAAAAGAAAAAAGAAAAAAAGAAAAATTGAAGAAAGAAAAGAAGAAAAAATAAAATAAAAGAAAAAGAAGAAAATTGAAGAAAAAAAAAAAAGAAAAAAGAAAAAAGAAAAGAAGAAAATTGAAGAAAGAAAAAGAAGAAAATTGAAGAAAGAAAAAAAAGAAAAATTGAAAGAAAAGAAAAAAATTGAAGAAAGAAAAAGAAGAAAATTGAAGAAAGAAAAGAAGAAAAAAATGAAGAAAGAAAAAGAAGAAAATTGGAAGAAAGAAAAAGAAGAAAAATTGAAGAAAGAAAAAGAAGAAAAATAAGAAAGAAAAACGTCAAATTGAAGAAAGAAAAAAAAAATTGAAGAAAAAAAAAAGAAAAAAAGAAAAAAGAAGAAAAATTGAAGAAAGAAAAGAAGAAAATTGAAGAAAAAAAAGAAGAAAAGCTGAAGAAAGAAAAAAAAACTGAAGAAAGAAAAGAAAATTGAAGAAAGAAAAGAAGAAAATGAAGAAAGAAAAGAAAGAAAAATTGAAGAAAGAAAAGAAAAATTGAAGAAAGAAAAAGAAGAAAATTGAAGAAAAGAAAAAGAAGAAAATTGAAAGAAAAGAAAAAATGAAAAAGAAGAAAAGAAAAAAATTGAAAAAGAAAAGAAAAAAATTGAAGAAAGAAAAAGAAAAAAATTAAGAAAAAAAAGAAAAAATTGAAGAAAGAAAAAAAAGAAATTGAAGAAAGAAAAAAAAAGAAGAAAAATTTAAAAAGAAAAAGAAGAAAATTGAAAAAGAAAAGAACTAATTGAAGAAAGAAAAAGAAGAAAATTGAAGAAAAGAAAAGAAGAAAAAAAAAAAAAGAAAAAGAAAAGAAGAAAAAGAAAACTGAAAGAAAGAAAAAATTGAAGAAAAAAAAAAGAAAGAAAAAAAGAAAAGAAAACCTTGAAGAAAGAAAAGAAGAAAAATGAAAGAAAGAAAAAAAAGAAAAATGAAGAAAGAAAAGAAGAAAATTGAAGAAAGAAAAGAAAAAAAAAATAAAAAAAAAAAGAAGAAAATTGAAGAAAGAAAAAGAAGAAAAATTGAAGGAAGAAAAAAATATAAAAAAAAAAGAAAAAAAAAGAATGGAAAAAGAAGAAAAAAGAAGAAAAAAAGAAGTCAAAAGAAAGAAAAGAAAAAAATTGAAGAAAGAAAAGAAGAAAAAATTGAAGAAAGAAAAAAAAGAAAAAAGAAAGAAAAGAAAAAGAAAAAAAGAAAGAAAAAGTCGGAAGAAGAAAATTGAAAGAAAGAAAAAAGAAAACTGCAATTTAAGAAAAAGAAGAAAATTGAAGAAAGAAAAAAGAAGAAAATTGAAGAAAAAAAGAAAAAATTCGAAGAAAGAAAAGAAGAAAAATTGAAGAAAGAAAAGAAGAAAAATTGAAGAAAGAAAAAGAAGTCATCAAGAAAGAAAAAGAAGAAAATTGAAGAAAGAAAAGAAGAAAAAAAGAAAGAAAAAACTGAAAAAATTGAAGAAAGAAAAGAAAAAAAAGGCGAAAGAAAGAAAAGAAGAAAATTGAAAAAAAAAAGAAGAAAAAGAAGAAAAAATGTGAAAAAAGAAAGAAAAATTGAAGAAAGAAAAGAAGAAAAAAAACAAGAAAGAAAAGAAGAAAATTGAAGAAAAGAAAAAAGAAAAATTGAAGAAAGAAAATTTTAAAGAAAATTGAAAGAAAGAAAAAGAAGAAAATTGCAGAAAAAAAAAAGAAAATTGAAAGAAAGAAAGAAGAAAATTAAGAAAGAAAACGAGAAAATTGAAAAAGAAAAGAAGAAAAAAAGAAAGAAAGAAAAGAAAAATAATCGAAAAGAAAGAAAAATTGAAAAAAAAAAAGATATGAATGAAAAAAAAAAAGAAAATTGAAGAAAACGTTTCAAGAAAATTGAATGAAAGAAAAAGAAGAAAATTGAAGAAAGAAAAGAAAAAAATTGAAGTGAAAAAAAGAAAAATTGAAGAAAGAAAAAGAAGAAAAATTGAAGAAAGAAAAGAAGAAAATTTGAAAAAAAAAATAAGAAAGAAAAGAAGAAAGAAAAAAGAAGAAAACTGAAGAAAAAAAGAAGAAAAAATTGAAGAAAGAAAGAAAAAAAATTGAAGAAAAAAAAAAGAAATATATTGAAAGAAAAAAAAAAAGAAAAATTGAAGAAAAAAAAAAAAATTAAAGAAAAAAAAAAATTAAGAAAATTGAAAAAAATTGAATAAAGAAAATTGAAGAAAAATTGAAGAAAGAAAATGAAGAAAAAAATTGAAAAAAAAAGAAAAAAAAATGAAGAAAAAAAGAAAAAAAAAGAAGAAAATTGAAGAAAGAAAAGAAAAGAAAATTGAAGAAAGAAAAGAAAGAAAAAAAGGAAGAAAGAAAATTGATTAAAATCTAGAAGAAAAAAAAAAAAATTGAACGAATCAAAAAATTTGTAAAAATGAAGAAAGAAAAAAGAAAATAAAGAAGAAAAGAAAAAAATGAAAAAGAAAATTAAAGAAAAGAAAAGAAAAATTGAAGAAAGAAAAGAAAAAATTAAGAAAGAAAAAGAAAATTGAAGAAAGAAAAAGAAAATAATTGAAAAAGAAAAAAGAAAAAAAATGAAGAAAAGAAAAAAAAATTGAAGAAAATGAAAAAAAAAAAAAAACTGAAGAAAAAAAAAGAAGAAACAAGAAAGAAAAGGAAGAAAAAAAAGAAGAAAATGTGAAAGAAAAAAAAGAAGAAAAAAAAAGAAAAAAATTGAAGAAAAGAAAAGAAGAAAAAAGAAAAAAAGAAAAGAAAGAAAAATTGAAGAAAGAAAAAAAGAAAATTGAAGAAAGAAAAGAAGAAAAATTCTAAAAAAGAAAAGAAGAAAATTGAAGAAAGAAAAAGAAGTAAAATTGAAGAAAGGAAAAAGAAAAACGCCTGA